CCTTTCTCGCCGCCCGCTTGATTGTCACCTCGGCCCTGGCCTTCGTCTCGGCCCTGAGTGCCCCCTCCTTCACACCATGACACCAGGTGGTGTGGTCTTGCGCGAGGACCTCCCAGGTATTGAATACAGAACTACTTAACATACATGTATTCAGTAAGCTATGAAGATAAAAAAGTCATTACTATGACTCTCAGCTAAATTATTAATCTATTCTCGTGCATGCATGGCTTCCTTGAAAACGCAGATATTGAAATTGTTTTAATTATATTTTAATTTATTTATTAATTAATTTATTTTTTGAGGTTTAAGATTCAAAAGGTACTAAAGAAGATAGAGAACTAGGAAATCTTTCTATTTTTGGGAGTACTTCCTTTGTTTTGTAGGACCATATGTAATATCTGACAGCAAGGAAGTAAAAGTATTGCTCTGTGTTGGATAGGGTGTCCAACCTCAGGCCAATTATCAGGAGTAAAAATGCTGGATTTTAGTTTTATTTGGTTTTCGGCCAACCATTTCATAAAGCCCTGCCAAAAACAAGATGTCTCGCTACACAACCAAAATAAATGAAAAAGGGATTCCTTCTTGGTTCTACAAAAGGTACAAATATCATTTTCTCTAATTCCTATCTTTTTAAGAAAATCATTTGTCGCCAAATGCCTGTGAAGTAGTTTAAAACTGAAAAATATTAATTTGGTAGCTTTAGTGCTGCCGAAAGGGAGTTTGTAAACCATCCCCATATTAATTGTTTTGGAGCACTGAAGGTTGCAGTCGACACAACACTTCTCATGGCTTTTCCTAGGGCTGCTCTGTTTAGCGCTGACTAGCTTTTCCTATGCTAATCTATTGGATTTAGGAGCGTTTATGAAGTTTTCTGCAAAAGTGCTGAAATTTCTGTGTTTTTCATTTTGGTTTTCTGTTACATTCTTTAACAATTTTATGCACGATACCACACCGTTATAAACAAGAAAATTTGTTTTGACGTTGAAGCGCTCCTTGAATTCATTGAAAGATAGCAAGTTATCTGTGTCTTTCATTAAATGCCTGACGTTTTTGTATTCCTTTGGAAGACCATGATTTGTAGTAGATAGGTTTATTTCCAATTGTCACAAGTGAATTTTACCAAAGAGGTAAAGGCCCTGTTCGCACTAAGTCGAAAATTTGAGTTTAGTGTTTGCAAAAAAATTGAAAATTTTGTAATCACCAATTTTTTGTTTTTGTAATCCTGTTCGCACATGAAGATGCAAAATTTTTTTAGTGACGGATGTTTGTTAGTAATTTGATCAATTTACCCTCAAGATGTCGTGACATGTCTTAAAGGGGAAGGTTTCATTCTTGGCATTTTTTCTCTTTGTTCCCTTTTTCGTGTTTTCTGTGCTTCCAGTAGCTGCAGCAGTCGTCTGATCTTTAGTGGATGTTACGGATGTGGATGCTGTGTTCAGCGGATGTGGATGCATTGTGAATCTGCTCGGGTTTGCGATGGAAAACTGTAAGAAGTACTGCTGTTGCGTAGCGATTTGGGAATCGTAATAACTTTGATTACCTTGATCTTGATCTTGGTAGCATTGCAAGCCATAATAATTGAAGTACCATGGATCGATGTTGCTTCTGTGCGGATTCATCTAGCTCAATTAAAATGGCGGGAAGTCATACGGTCACATTTGCTTCGTAATCCATATGTTGCAAAATTTGATGACCAAATGACGGATGGATGTCAAGGAACAAAGGATTTTCTCGCCTGACAAAATTTTTACAGCCTCCAAAGCTAGTTGACGGAATCTTTGAAGTTTCGTTGTGCTTGCAAAAATTTTGGTGGGTTCAAATAATCATTCGCACTAGAAATGGCTGCATGTTGACAGATTTTTTGGCAAATCGAACAAAATTTCGCGTAGTGCGAACAGCCCCAAAGAGAGCAAATTTTCAGTGGAAGTTATGTTATTGTCATAACTGATTTCTGACCAGATTTTTAGAATTTCTGTTGTAAAGGCATCTGATATATGTCTAAACTTTGCCAGATCATTTTGGTTGAGGTTACCCTTAAAGATAACAATGCCACCGAAATCGTGTAATTCAGAATCGAAGAATAATTTCCATTTACCATGATTATCAGTCTAAATATTTTTTGACCAATGTTGATATGAGCGCTTTATTAAAAGATTTAATGTTGATCATCCTTAAACCTCCATTTTTATAATGACTGATCATTACACGTCACTAAATTTTGTCCCCTCTTCCACTCCAGAGAAAGCTGTAGAACATGTTGTTCATCTCGTCTCAGTCTGATTTGTTGGCAATGGTCACAGAATGTAAACAAGCTGAGAGGCGATTAAACTTTTTACTACAATGATTTCCCCCAACAGGTGCAGACGACAATATTCCCAGCAGCTTAAGCAATTTCTAACCTTTAGTAATCTTCCATTGTAGTTTGCTTTCATGCTGACCGTGGGATTGGATGAAATCCAGACACCTAAGGCCTTATCTTTGTTTTGTCGTATTTTGTTGGCTAATATTTCTGCGCAAAGGATGAAAATATAAGGCAAGTGGGGACAACCTTGCCTGACTCCTCTTCCAGGGCTGAAGTAGTTGCTTGCCCATCCGTTATTAAAGATGCACCTTTCTATGTTATGGTAGCACAATTTGATCCAACTTATTAACGACGATCTGAAATTGAAAGAAGCTATCATTTTCCATATAAAAGACCACTCAACTGTGTCAAATGCTTTTTCGAAATCTAGAAACATTAACAGTCTGGAAATATTATGAGCAGCAGTGTGGTTTATTAAGCCATTGATTAATCTTATGTTTTCACCAATAAATCTTCCTTTGAGAAAACTGGTTTGGTTACTATTTATTAGTTTTGGAAGTACATTTTGGAGTTTGTAATGGCCTTAGCCGCTTTCTTATAGTCGGAGTTCAATAGAATAATTGGTCGCCAGTTTTTAACAAAGTAAGGTTCTATATCTTTTTAGGGTAAAAGTTCAATTATCCCACGTCTTTGACTTATTGAGAATTTTCCTTCAGTATAAGCATAGTAAATTGTGTTTAAAAGGCAGTCCAAGATTTCATTTCAGAAAACTTTATAAAATTCAATGGGCAAACCTTCCGAGCCTGGCATTTTTCTGGGTTTCATACTCTTTAGAGCTTGTAAGCACTCTGCTTTGGTTAACATGCCCTGCATGTTTCTTTTTCCTCAAGATTCAATGATTTTGAAGCGATGCTTCCAAAAAATAGGTCGTTAATTCGTGAATCATTGCAGTCTGTTTTGGAACTATAGATATTTCTGTAAAAGGTTTTGCAATCATATCAAGTTTCTTTGTCTGAGCTGGCAAATTAGCTTTTCGTTGGCATTGTTACACCCTGAATCAATTTGCCTCTGCAATATGTCAACTTTTTTCTCCAATTCTTCTTCTGCAACATTTTTGCGTTTTTTGTTTTCACCTATATCAGAGTTTGTTCTCTAACTTTTAACTTAACCATTTTCCATAACAAGGAGGCATTTGCTGATTTATCATTTTGATATTCGTCCCTAACACCCTCTATGGTTGCCCTAATTTGATTTATGTATTCTGTCTCTGATAAAAACGATGTGTTTAATTTCCAAAAGCCTGGTCTCCTTGGATTCGTGTGAAGTACAATTTGAAACGTCACCATCCAATGATCTCTTTCAAAGCCCGCCGAGATGTCCATGTGTGTGACATTACCCATTAGACTCTGACTCACTAAGAAAAAATCCAATCAACAATGGATTTCAGGTTTCCTTCTACACCACGTGTATCTCAGGATGTCAGGGTCAAATACCCTCCATGCATCAACCAAGACGAATTTCGTAGTGTGCTTGTTGATTGCATTAACTGCTTTTATGTGGGTTTTGGCAAGACCACCTTTCTTGTCCTTTTCTAGATTAATTACTAAATTGAAATTGCCACCCAAAATTATATTGTCACATCGAAAAACTTGCAAGTGGCTAAAGAAACTCTTAAAGGCTGGGTCGTCATCATTTGGTGCGTAGATTGTGGCCAGAGTCAAATGCGTGGTTTTTTTAGTAAGTTCTTCAAGTTTGTGGTCTCTCTCTTTAATTAAACTCTTCACTTTGCTTGTAGTGTTATCTTCTTAATTAAACGCAGCCGGACTGGTACATTTTTGTCGTGAATCCTCATTTGGCTGATCTAAGTTCGGCAATGCTATGACACTGAAAGCATGTTGCAGAAATTTTGGTGAAATTTCACTTTCATCTGGCTCACCTGACTCACATTCTGTCTGTGTTGAAATACTTGTTGATTCAGGGTGATGATAGACAGCAATGAATTGTAAAATACAGAGAAGAATGATTGAAGACTCCCAAAAAGGTATTCACCTTACCCTAAATCCTTTGTGATCAGGGTATTCTTGAAGGTTTTTGTCCACCATTTCCTGCACGGCTATTTTCAGGCAGTATGGATAGACATCACCCTTCTCCGACTTTGTTACCAAACTGGTGTATAAAACAAAGTGATGCAGTATAAGATATCCAACAACAAACACCTAGAGTCACAAACAAGTAGAAAGAATTCTTTCAAAGTAATATCAAGCTTCAAAAAGGTAAATAGGGGGATTCATGCTGACGTCATTCTTTGAATGTTTGCTCATTTGCATATGGCTTTGCGTATAGAAGTAAACATGTTAGATATGAATTTATTGATGTCTCTTATATGTGTCACGTGATACAGGCCAGTCAAGCAGCCACCTGCTGTGCAAGACTCACATGTACTTGAGTAAAGATATCTCCGTTTTGGCTACAGATAACCATGTATTTTATTTTTGATTTTGTTGTCATGAATATGGACTGTTGATGGTAATAAGTGATGGAATTTCCCAAAAGTTAAATTTGCAGAAAGCAGTGGCAGCATGAAGTTACAAGACGAAAATTATGCAAAATTTGAATTTGTCAAACCAAATAATTTCTTCATTAGGAGTCCTAGAGCAAAATACCTCCCTTATCTCCATCAGCACATAGAGAATTACCTTGAAGATTTCAGCTCTATAGCTTAAATCTTTCTTGAGATTTCTTTACTCAAAGGCTGAAAACCAACATATCTAGAAAAGTGGCTTTAAAAACTGAGAACAGAAAGAATTAGCTGTTTCATTCAGTGTGACTCAAACTTGCCAAACATCAGTTATTACAATTCCTTATGTTTTGGGAAGCAAATTAAAAGCCCCCAGGTTCATAACTGGCACCCTCTAACTCCTGAAGAGCTTTTTCCCGCCTTGTACAAACAAGCTGTAGGCCCTGGCGACGCTTTTTCTCCTTTGCTGTTACTTGGCTATATGCTTTACTTACTCTCTTTCTGTCCCTGATGTCAATTGAGCTACTTGTATGGGAGCCATGTGAAACAGAGAGTCTTTCCATGATTTTCTTTCTGATTTCTGCTCCTTTGTGAAAATGGCAAATGGCAGATGCAGCTGCACAACGTACCACCTTAGCCCCATGGTGCTTGTGTTTAGGGCACCTAACCCAAACCAATGAGTTGATGCACTCATTTGGATTTTGGGTTGTTTCTCTTATAGATCTTTCCAGAAGCTTGGACTCACTCAGGGTAATGAAAGTTGGTTTTAAAACTTCCAGAAATATTTCTGGCAAACAGTCATCCTGTTTGTATGTTTTTGTATCAGTTGCCTGGTCTTGCTGCCACCTGCACCATCAGTGTTCTCCTGGTGGACAAAAGCGATGTTTTGTAGGATCATTTGAATTTACACTATGGTGTAGTATTGCAATAACATATTTTTTTTATTGCATAAACAACAACATTGACTTCAACATTGACAAAGTTTAAGTTTGCGTATTTTTCGAACAAGGACTCCAAAGCATAAACACTTGCCTTTGTTTTGTATGATAGCTGAAGGTAATATTTTCAGAAAATTAAGGCAGCTCCAAGTGAAAACGTATCATTTTTTGAGCAGAATCAT